TATTTCACTTTATTTATTTATTTATTTATTTATTTTAATTTGACCAGAGAAGGGCAGAGAGAGAAAAATTAAGTATGAAAGCAAACTGCCAGGTCCGGGACTTGAACTGCAGTCACCCATGTGGGAATCCACTGCCCTTAACCACCACGCCACTTACAAGCCCACCCAGCATGAGTTTTAGGCTATCAGCTCCAGGGCTCAAACTGTGGTAGGGCTCAAACTGTGGTCGACCATGTAAGTCTAGCACCTTAACCATCATGCCACTCACTGACTTTTTTTTTTCTTTTTTGAGAGGTTTTTGCTATAGGGTGCGTGCACTCACCAGACAGACAAAGACAGAGAGACAGAAAGCGAGAAATCACCCCCCAGGGGGGATGGCCACGCCACAATCCCTTCTCTATTCTCCTCTCGGGATCTTGGGCACGCACGCACACAAACCCGGTGTGAGTTTAAGCCACCGGGTCCAGGACGTGAACCGCGGTCGACTACGTGGGAGTCCAGCGACATAGCCATTACACTAACTGCTGGTCCCCTGACTTATTATTTTTTAAAAATAATTATTTGTTGGGACCAGTAGCTGGTGTAATGGCTACATTGCTGGACTCCCATATAGTCAATTGCCGTGTGGGTCCCGGACATGGAGGCTTAAAACTCATGCCTATATGTATGCATGCACGTGTTTCCCAAAATCCTGAGAGGAGAATGGAGGAAAAGGGATTGTGGCATGGACATTCCTCTGGGAGGTGATTTCTCACTTCTGTCTCTCTGTCTTTTAGGTGAGAGCATGCTCCCTATAGCAGAAATCTCTCTTAAAAAAAAAACTTGAACTGTGGTCAGCCATGTGGGAGTCCTGCTGGGCCCCCAGCTTTTTATTTTTTTAAATTTCTTTCTTTCTTCTGAGAGAAAGGGAAACCCTTAACAGGGTCTTCACATTGCCAGAGACCCCCATCTCAACCAGCCCATATTATAGGCATGTATAGGGAGGCCCCTGGACTTCAACCGAGGACCTTTCCCATGTGGATCTGGTTGCACTGCCACTGTACTCCCGCCTGCCCACTGAACTATGGCTTTTAAAGGAATTTGTTAATTTTTTTAAAGAATTATTTTATTTAACTTTATTTATTTATTTTAATTGGACCAGAGAGGGACAGAGAGAGATAGAGAAAGAAAGTGAGAAAGCAAGCCGCCAGGTCCAGGACTTGAACCGCAGTCAGCCATGTGGGAGTCTAGCACCCTTAACCACCATGCTACCTGCTGGCCCCATGAAATGTGTTCATTTTAAAGTTTATTTAAGTATTTCATTGAAAGCATTTTTTAAATTACAGCATACACCTTGTTGACATAAGTCAAATAGTTGAGAAAGGCTTATACCAAACATTCCAGCTAATTCTGATACACACTCAGTGTGAGAACCACACTTTAGCTCAAAGACCATAGCATATGATATCAACAAACGTGGGTTCAAATACCTGCTGCACCATTTTCCTGTGGTGTGATTTTAAGTACTCAACCTCTCTGAGTGATCATAGCTGCCTCATTTTCCAATGGAGGTAATATATTATAGCAAGGGTTTTCAATCATTTCGGTCTCAGACCCCTCTATCCCCTTAAAAATATGGAGGACCAGGGTCAGCAGATGACTTAGCAGTTACATTGCTGGACTCCCACGTGGGTGACCACAGTTCAGGGCCCAGACCTGGTGACTTTTAAATCATACCAGGTGCATGTGCATGCCCAAGATCCCAGGAGGAGAAAGGGAGAGAAGGGATCGAAGTGTGGCCATCCCCCCTGGGTGGTGATTTCGCACTTTCCCTCTCCCTGTCTCTGTCTCTCTTTCTCTCCAGTGAGCACATGTGCCCTAAGGCAAAAACCTCTTACAAAAAGTATATGAAGGACCCTATAGACTTCTATTTTTTTTTTTTTTTTTGGAGAGGTTTTTTTCGCTATAGGGCAGGTGTGCTCGCCAGACAGACAGAGAGAGACATAGAGACAGAAAGCGAGAAATCACCCCCCAGGGGGGATAGTCACGCCACAATTCCTTCTCCTCCATTCGGGATCTTGGGCACGCACGCACAGGCCCCCAGCGTGAGTTTTAAGCCACCCGGTCTGGGACGCGAACCACGGTCGACTACGTGGGAGTCCAGCGACATAGCCATTATGCTAACTGCTGGTTCCCAAGACTTTATTTTTATGAGTTACATCTATTGATATTCCCTGTGTCAGGTATTTAGAAATTTAAAGAACAATCTAAAAATCGATCGGAAGTTAACGTAAATAGCATTCCTTTGAAAAAGAGCATTGTTTTTCAAAACAACAAAACTTCAGAGGAGAGCATGGCCTGGTTTCCCGTTTTCGCAGATCCATTTACTGTCTGGCGCATTACAAGACAGCTGGCTTCTCGGATCTGCATTCAGGCTGTTGCAATGTCACATGTCGCGTAGCCTTTGGAAAACTCCACTGTATCCTCATGAGGAAATGAGGGTGAAAAGGCAAATTAATGTCTTATAATTTCGAAAACAATTTGCAACCTTGCAGGGGTCCCAGGACCACACTTTGAGAACTAGTGTGTTAGGAGAGTCTAAGCAGTTGAATACATGTGTCAAACACATAGTAGGTGCTCAGTAAATGGTGGTGTTTACTATGGATAGTTCATAAGAGAGAGAGAGACTCAATTCTTAGGGAAGAGCAAACAGGGCCCAGAACTCAGTGGTGTGAGGTGCCAGGTGTGTTACCAGAACAGGAAATCTGAAACAGGACAGAGACTGAAGCCCAGTGCATGACCTGTGGGCTGCAAGCCCCACCATCTGAGCAGGCATCGGGCAAGGCAAAGGAACCACACTTGGAGTAGGCAGAGGAGAGTGGTCAGCCCGGTCCCCACAACCCCCTTTGAATAGAAGGTGACTGGTGGGGAGGGGCTGGGGCCACTCTGGTTCCTCCAGCTCAGGTCAGCACCACTGGGAGCTCTAGGGCCCAGAGGAAGGCAGAGACAGGAATGGGGTCTGGGACTCTGCAAACTGGGCTCTTGGGCAGAGCCCTGCCTGGTGCTGGAGGCTCAAGGGAGGAGCTTCCGGTGTAGCCTTGGGCAGCACAGTATGCGATGGGGTGCAGACCTGAGATAGCCTTGGGGACCACAGCGAGCAGGCAGGTGTTGAGGGGAGGTGGGGGACACAGAACCAAGACCCGTTCAACTGGAGCCGCCAGTGTGGGGAGGTGGGCTTGAGCGCTGCTGGGGGACCCAGGGAGACCATCCTAGGCCAGAGCTGTGCTCCACTAGGGGGCGCCATTGCGATATGCCTGGGTGGACAGAACACCCCTGCGGGACTGGGGCATAAGGGAGGGTTCTGGGAGGGTAGAAGCCAACCAAGGTGGCTGGGGAAACGGGAGCCAGAAGCAGACTGGTCTGAAGGAGAGAGCCAGGTCAGAGAGCCACTCCTGTCAGCCAGCAGGTACTTACTGAGCACCTCCTAGTGTGTGTATTCGGGGGGGAGTTGCAAAGGTAAACCCGACATGGTCTCTTGAGAGCTACAGGAATCAAATCTGCACACTAGGAAGGTGTGGGTCACAGACGAGGCGGTTAGAGACCAAGGTAGACTCACGGGGAGGTGGGCAGTTTCCAGTTGACTGAGGGATTTAGTAATCCGGTCGTCAGCATCAGCCTGTTCTACATGTGGGGCGAGGGTGAGCTGTCCATTCTGGGGCAGAAAACTGAGCTGAGGACCTCCAGGGTCGGAGATCTCTTCCTGGGGAAGTGGAGGCTGTTAGGTGGGAGGAGAGAAAGGGCCTAGCCCTTGTCCCTGATTTGTTTCAGTCCTTAACCCAAAACCTTTCCCTCCTCCCAGTTTGGCAACAACCCCTTCTCTTCCCTGACCGGGAACTCCGACAGTTCGTCCTCCCAGCCTCTGCGGACTGAGAATCGAGAGCCCCTCCCTAACCCCTGGAGCCCCTCGCCCCCCACCTCCCAGGCCCCCGGGTCCGGTGGGGAGGGCACCGGAGGATCGAGGACCAGCCAGGTGCACCCGACAGTCTCGAACCCCTTTGGGATCAATGCGGCTAGCCTGGGGTCAGGTATGTCCTAGGGGAAGGAGCGTAGTGGGTCACGGGGAGCTCCTCTGCCCCAGGACTGAAGGGGCTCCGTTGCTCCAGGGTGTGGAAGGCAGCGGTGAGATAGTATTGAAGCTGCAGGAGGAGCCCTGCTGCCTGGGGTGGTAGCCTCACCGTCCGAAGGTGAGGGCTGGGTCTGGCCATGTGCTGACACGACCCTGGGCCTAACCTACGCCGTGGCTCCTGGATAAACCAGGCCCTGCCTCCTAAGCTCCTGGAGCATCTCTGGTATTATCCAGTGCAAATGGGTCAGACCGGGTGGGGGAGGTGTTGGACAGGAATCAGGGCAGACCTGGGGACAGGCAGATGTGAGGCTGGGGGACAGATACTGGGCCGCTGTGTCCAGAAGTGCAGACTACGCGCTGCACGACCTCGGGGTGCCCCACGCACTGTGCACTTGACCCTGGAGATGTCTGGTAGATGCCCTGGTCTTCCTGCACCTAGAGGGCATCCTGACTGGGAAAGCCCCTTCCCTGCTGCGTTTTCAGTTTCCTCATTCATAAAATGAGGACTGGAACTTGATCTGTGGTTTTCAAATGGTGCTCCTGAGTCCTGGGGGTCCAGACCACCTCCAGGTGAGCCAGGGCAGACCAACCAGGAGCGGCTCTAGGCCTCCCCAGCTCCAACCGGACCACTGGCACTCGGTTTCTGAGTGGGAATTGGTGAGGAGAGGGTCTCTGCTGCTCGGATACGTTTGAAACTGTTGACCGGATGATATGTCATCAGTCTTTAACAACTCGGCTCTGATCTGAGCTGGTGACAGGGACAGGCAGAGGGGCAGGACTCAGACCCAGTTTTCGGCCTGCCTGTCCTCAGTAGAGTAGACGGGACAGTGGTCAAGCCAGAGCAGGCCAGGAGAGCCTGGGCCCGTGCCACACAACTTGGGCTTCCATGCGATCATGGCCTCTTGGAGCTCAGTGAGCAGTCAGGGTCTGAAGTGAGGTAGCTTAGAGTGAGGTGTCCGGTGTCCATGTGGACCCCTCCCCTCCTGTTTTGTCTTGTTTTCCCTCTTGTCCTAGGAATGTTCAACAGTCCTGAAATGCAGGCCCTCCTCCAGCAGATCTCCGAGAACCCCCAGCTGATGCAGAATGTGATCTCAGCCCCCTACATGCGCAGCATGATGCAGACCCTCGCCCAGAACCCCGACTTTGCTGCTCAGGTAGCACCCGGCCGGGGCGGGGGAGCAGTGCTGGGAGAGAGTTCCCTCGAGTGGGGCAGTTTCTGGTGGAGGCCCAAACACCCTGGTGCCAGACCGCCTGGGTTTGTATCCCAAGCTCTGCCACTTCCCAGCTGGGTGAACAAAGCAAGATTTTTCCTTCTCTCCCTTCTTAAAAACAACAAAAAAAAACTTCATTATTTTATTTGTTTCTTCCATAAGCAAGAGAGAGAGACAGAGAGACAGGCACCTCCCACAGTCTCTCTCCCGCTGTCTACCCCTAGTCCCAGCTGGCCTGCATCATTAGTGTGCACGCACACACTGGCCTGCTCAGGGACGTTCCAGGATGCAAACGCAGGACCTTTCCCGTGTGGATCCAGTTGCGTTACTGCTGTGCCTCCGCCTGGCTCCCTAGCAAGCTGTTTAACCTATTTCCTCATCTGTGAGATGGTACTGACAGCAGTTCCTACTCAGCTACAGGAGTAAATGAGTTAGTACCGTCAGAGGCTTAGAACGGCGCATGCACAGGGCAAGCGCAGGGACTGGGAGATCTTCGCTCACCGTCAGCCTGTCGGGCCCAGGGCTGCAGCCTGACTCCTGCTGCTCTATCTTCATTGCCAGCACAGAGTTCCATTTCCTCTCACTGTCCCACTTAGGACTTCAGGAGACTTTGGGATCCTTGGAAAAGCTGGCCAGATTTCCTCCAGTGGTAGGGGGTGCTGAGGGAGTCTGAGGCTGAGGGGAATTCTTAGGGCGGGAAGGCCCAGGCGCCCCCTCCTACTTAACCCTGGCAGATGATGGTGAACGTGCCGCTCTTCGCGGGGAACCCCCAGCTGCAGGAGCAGCTCCGCCTACAGCTCCCAGTCTTCCTGCAGCAGGTGAGTGATGAAGGAGCCCAGAGGGGTGGAGTTTGAGGCAAAGCATGGGCCTGGAAGGCTAATGGGTGAAACTCAAGGTAGGGTGGCTCTGGGCCTGGGTTTTGGTTGCCTTCCCTGTTCTTCACCCCTCATTGTGTCTCTCTGCTCGTTTCCACCAGATGCAGAACCCGGAGTCGCTGTCCATCCTCACCAACCCCCGTGCCATGCAGGCCTTGCTGCAGATCCAGCAGGGACTGCAGACCTTGCAGACCGAGGCCCCCGGGCTGGTACCCAGGTGAGAGTGGGGGCCAGGGACCACGCGGCTTTGGCTACCCGCCCCTGCCCTCTGTCTGCTGCTCTCTGCACAGTTCTCGTGTCTGCGGGTCTTTTCTGGACTCGTGTTCCCATCCTCTATTGGATGCCATCTCTCACCTCTCGGTCTCTTCTACCCGCAGCCTTGGCTCCTTTGGGATGTCTCGGCCCCCAGCACCCTCAGCAGGCAGCAACACCGGCTCTGCGCCTGACGCCCCCACCTCCTCCCCAGCCGCACCAGCCACATCCTCTCCCACTGGGGCTTCCAGCACCCAACAGCAGCTCATGCAGCAAATGATCCAGCTTTTATCTGGAAGTGGGAACTCACAGGTACCCGGGCCAGTGGGGCCAGTGCCGGGACCACCCTTCGGTCCTGAGCAGTAGGATGGTAGCAGAGTGCAGGCAGTGGGACAGGCTTTGGTACCTTAGCCAGACTGCCTTGAGGTCCTGGCGGGCCACTCTCCAGCCCTGCACAAGTTCCCAAGCCTCCAGGTTCGGTTCCCACAGCTGCACAGTGGAGTGAGACTAGGAGCTCTTCCACAAGCTCGGTACTGGTCCCAGCCCTTCAGATAGAAGAGCTCGTTTGTTCCTGGTGAGAGCATTCTGAGGAAGCTTCCGTTAGCATTGTCGTTATCTGGTTCCAGGTGGGAACACTGAGGCCCAGACAGGTTTTGTGGCTTGCTCATCTGCGCAGCTAGTAGGTGAGGGAGCCGTGATCCAACCTAGGCATTCTGGCTCCAGAACTTACTCTCTAACCACCACGTTCTACCACGTGCACTTGTACTGAGGGATTCTTTTTATTTGGAGAGGTTTTTGCTATAGAGCGCGTGCGCTCGCCAGACAGACAGAGAGAGACATAGAGACAGAAAGCGAGAAATCACCCCCCAGGGGGGATGGTCACGCCGCAATCCTTTCTCCTCCATTCTCTCGGGATCTTGGGCACGCACGCACACACACCCGGTGTGAGTTTTAAGCCACCAGGTCCGGGACGTGAACTGTGGTCAACTACGTGGGAGTCTAGCAACATAGCCATTACGCTAACTACTGGTTCCCTCGAGGGATTCTTTTGATAATTCAAGCAGCTCCACCTATGAGACTCTGCAGAGGAGGTTTCTGGGAAGTGAGGTGACTAGAGCCCTACTCCATAAAGTCCAGGCGAGGGACTTGAGGGGACTACAGAGATGACCTCAGGTGAGCCTCATAACCTTTCTGACTCATCTCGACCTCCATGACTCATCTGGAAAAGCCAGTCAACAAAAACATGTGTGTATCCAGCTCTGAGCAAGGCCTGAGCAGAGGCCAGTCAGGCGCTCTTCAGGTTCCTGTGCAGCTCGTGCTGTCACTGCAAGGAGACAGCAGGGAGCAACTGGGGCGGGCTTGGTGCTGCACGGCCAGGGCCCGTGGCTCACTGACTTGCTCTGTGGCCCTCGGCAAGTCCTGTCTCTGGGTGATGGGGCAGGTGGACGGGCTTCAGTGCTCTTTCTAGCCCCAGAGTCTTTTGTCCGTGATTTCGGCCATGCTTCCCAACACCCCCTGAGAAAACGTCCCCAGAAGATGTTTGTAGGAGTGTCAAGAATGAAAAGCCAGGCCAGTTGGTAGCATGGTAGTTAGGGTGGCTGGATTCTACATAGCCAACTATGAGGTTCAAGTCCCAGACCCAGTGGCTTAAAAAACACGCTGAGTGCATATATGTGTATGCCCAAAATCCAGAAAGGAGAAATTCAGAAGAAGGGATTGTGGTGTGGCCATTCCCTTGGAGGGTGCTTTCTCACTTTCCATCCCTCTCTTTCTCTCTCTGTCTCTCTCCAGTGAGTACTGTACCTTCTAGCAAATTTTTTAAAAAAGAATGAAAAGCTTTCTCTTTTATAAATGTGTTCATTGATCAGACAAAATTAAACAGTTTCTCTCCTGCGACCCTTCTCTGGCTTTTAATATGGCCATATGCATGGTGTCAGATTGGAAGTCGTGTTTACCATGTATGTTATTTGACCCCGTAACATTTGGCTTTTGGAGTGCCTGTTACTATCTCGAGTTTTCATGGAAAGTAGTTGAGAATACAAGGGCAAAAGGCTCATGGAAAAATGGGATTAAAGTATGAGATTATTTTGGTGTTAAACACTTGAGGGACCAGCAGATGGCGTCATGGCTAAATCACTGGACTCCCATGTAGTCGACTACGGTTCGAGTCCTGGACCCGGTGGCTTCAACTCAAGCTGGGTGCATGTGCGTCATGCTCGATCCAGAGAGGAGAATGGAGAAGAAGGGATTGTGGCGTGGCCATCCCCCTTGGGGGGTGATTTCTAGCTTTCTGTCTCTCTGTCTCTCTCAGTCTTTCTGGCAAGTACACATGCCCTATAGCAAAAACCTCTCCCAAAAAAAAAAAAAAAAAAACACTTAAAATCCTTGCATCTTTTATTTTTTTAATGACTATTTGATTTAGCTTTAATTTAATTTATTTATTTGAATTGGACCAAAGAGGGACAGTGAGAAAGTGAGACAGAGAAAGTGAAAAAGCAAACCTCCAGGTCTGAGAATTGAACCATGATCAAGCATGTGAGAGTCTAGTGTCCTTAACCACCACGGCACCTGCTGGCCCTCCTTGCATCGTTTTTTCGTCATCTGCATTTTCCATGAACTTCTTGTAAAAAATATTTAATTTTATTTATTCACTCATTTATTTTTTAATTTCACAAGAGAGCGAGAGAATGAGAAAGCAAGCCACCAGGTCTGAGACTCAAACCGTGGTTGGCCACGTGGGAGTGTCCAGCACCTTAGCCACCACACCACCTGCAGGTCCCCTTCCATGAACTTTTAAGGACCTCAAGTATAAACTGACCTAGGCTTACCAGTTTCTTTGAAATTTCCAGAAAGACACCCCTGGCCATATTGTTACACAGTTACTTAGCAACTTGGGACTGGGCTCCTTGGCCCCCGTTTGCAGCTCACTCTGCCCCACCCACTGACTGGAGGATGTTACCAAAGACCTGCTGAGGTCTTACAGACCCTCCGATTCTGAGAGGCCTCCTGGGTCTGTCCTGCTCTCACTTCATGAGCCCTGTCTCCTCCAGGTACAAATGCCAGAAGTAAGGTTTCAGCAGCAGCTGGAGCAGCTCGACTCCATGGGCTTCATCAATCGTGAGGCCAACCTGCAGGCCCTGATCGCCACGGGCGGGGACATCAACGCCGCCATCGAGAGACTCCTGGGCTCTCAACTCTCCTGATCCCTCGGCCCATGCCTCCCACCTCTCCTCGATGCCAGCCTTTGGTTCCTGTGTCAGCCCCTCCCCTCTGCAGCTTGTCACCCCTGTCTTCTCCCTTGTCCTCTCCAGGCAGCAGGTGACTTCAGAGGCGTGGCCCCCACCCGTAGCTCTGTCTGGGATGGTTTTACTGCTTAGCTCTCTACTGGGATCATCTCTCCTCGTCCTCCCCAGCTTTCAGGCTCGATGGTGGGCCCTGCCACCCTGCCCAGCAGTCCCCTCCTGCAGTCTTCGCACTTCTCAGTGGCAGTGCAGAGTCAAGGCAGAGCCAGCTCTCTGGTGTATGGGAGTCTTCCATCTGCACCCCTAGGGTTTTGCTTGTCTTAGTTTTCTTTTGATAAGTTTTTCTTCTTTCTCTCCTCCAAACTTCAACCCAAACAAGGCTAGAATTTTACCCCTGAAGGAAGGGCAGGTGGAACAGGCTGGAATTTTCCTCCTCAACCCTCTCCTGGCCGCTTCCTCCAGCACTTTTTCATGGGTGCTGTTGGGACTCCCAGGGTGAGGAGGAAGATGTTTGTTCCCCCTGTCTGAAGTGGGAAATGAGACACAGCCCTCTGGACAGGAATTTGCAAGCCCGGGACCAGCCCAGCGGAGACTGGTGCAGAAGAGGAGAGAGTGAGATGTTTTTAAAGGAAAGGAATGAGAGAGACAGCCTGAATAAAAGCCCGGGAGTGGAAGCACCGATGGCCGTTTTAGGCGGGAGAGTCCAGGCCATGGCTGGCAGAGGCTTAGTGATGCTGGTGGGAGCTCTGGAAGGAGGGCTCATCAGGAGTCACTGCCGAGCTTTGTCGAGCCCTTCCCCAGACACGTGCTTACAGACACACGTGCTTACAGTCACACGTGCTTACAGACACGTGCACACTTCCATGAGCACAGGACCTGCCTGTGTCCCCAGGTACCAGTCATGTGAGCCCCCTCCAAGGTTATGATGGGCCTGTCTCAGCCATGGGGCGTGTGTGTGTGTGTGCACATGCAGGTGTGCACACGGGCGGGCTGGTCGGGGAGCGGGTTCTTTGTCATTTCTAGCTCAGAGCCCTCTCCCACCTGAGACAAGTGGGGACAGGGCCAGTCTATAGGGCAGGAATGTGGACTTGGAGGAGAGCCAGGTTTCTCGGGCTCTGGATGCTGGGTAGCCCAAAGGTAGTGCGGGTCCCCTTCCAAAGCTGTCAGGGCTGTGACCCACATCCTCATTGCCCCTTACTGCCTAGGGGAAATAGAGGGGCTTTCCCTCCAGAGCCCCTGCCTTTGGCATCCTAGTCCCTTCTCTTTCAGTTCTTCACTGTTTCCCTCCAGGCCGGGAAGCCCTAATGAGGGAGGAGAGGAGAGGGCAGTGGTGATGCCCTGGATCTGGAATTGAACATTGCTCTACTGGAGCACAGAGGAGGCTCCTATCACGTCCTCCCTCTGCAGCCTGGTCCAGCTCCTGGGCGGACCCAGGGCTGACAGAATGGAGGCAAGAAGCCTAAGTGGGAAAGTGTCCCAAGCAGCCAGAGAGGATGTCTGTGTGGCCTTCCCTCCCTACCTCCCCCAGCTCCCGTACTGGCCTTTGTAAATAAATGGCGTGATCTTTGTTGTGAGAGTGTGTTGGCGTTTGCTTTCTGGCGAGAGGAGGCTGGCCGAAGACAGCTTCTCAGTTTCACAGAACATAAAGTGGGATTTAGAGGAATTGGGGTTCAGTTACCACAGGTATGGAGAAACATCGAGGGTTAAAGATAGGTGATCCTGGGAGCCGGCAGGTGGCATGGTGGTTAAGGTGCTGGACATTCCCACATAGCTGACCACGGTTTGAGTCCCGGACCTGGTGGCTTGCTTTCTCACTTTCCCTTTCTCTCTGTGTCTCTCTCTGGTCAAATTGAAATAAGTGAATGAATAAATAAAAATTTAAAAAAATAAAAAAGATAGGTGATCCTGGGAGTGTTAATAATACATGGTGATGGGACCAGCAGTTAGTGTAATGGCTATGCTGCAGGACTCCCATGTAGTTGACTCCAGTTCGAGTCCTGGACCTGGTGGCTTAAACTCACGCAGGGTGCATGTGTGTGCATGCCCAAGATCCCGAGAGGAGAATGGAGGAGAAGGGATTACGGCGTGGCCATCCCCCCTGGGGGGTGATTTCTCATTTTCTATCTCTGTTTCTCTGGCGAGCGCATGCACCCTATAACAAAAACCTCTCCAGGGACCAGCAGTTAGCTTAATGGCTATGTCGCTGGACTCCCATGTAGTCGACCGCGTTTCGAGTCCCAGACCTGGTGACTTAAACTCACGCCATGCACGTGTGCGTGGGTGCCCAAGATCCTGAGGGGAGAATGAAGGAGAAGGGAATGCAGCATGGCCATCCCCCGTGGAGGGTGATTTCTCGCTTTCTGTCTCTCTGTCAGTCTGGTGAGCACACACGCCCTATAGCAAAAACCTCTCCAAAAAAAAAAACCTCTCCAAATAAATAAATAAAAATAATAGTAATACTAATACATGATGATGCCAGCATGTGGACAACTGCAGTTCAAGTCCCAGGCCTGGTGGCTTACTTTCTCACTTTCCCTCTCTGTCTCTCTCTGGTAAAATTTAAAAATTAATAAAATCTGGGCCGGCACGTGCCATGGTGGTTAAAGGCACTGGATTCCCACATGGCTGACCACAGTTCAGGTCCCAGACCTGGCAGCTTGCCTTCTCAGTTTCCTTCTCTCTCTGCCTGTTCAAATTTTAAAATATAATAACAACAAATAGAAATAAATAAATTATTATTTTAAAGTAATAATAAATAGGGGCTAGCAGGTGGTGTTGTGCTGAATTCCCATATGGCCAACTGCGGTTCAAGTCCCAGACCTGGTGGTTTGCTTTCTCACTTTCTTTTTCTCTCTCTCTCTGGTCAAATTAAAAGATAATGGGGCCGGCAAGTGGCATGGTGGTTAAAGGCGCTGGACTCCCACATGGCCGACCACGGTTCAAGTCTCGGACCTGGTGGCTTGCTTCCTCACTTCCTCTCTCTCTCTGTCTCTCTCTGATCAAACTGAAAAATAATAATGATATAATAATAAAGTTAAATAAAATAATTCTAAAAAAAATTAAAAGATAATAATAACTGGACTGGTAGGTGGCGTGGTAGTTGAGGTGCTGGACACTTCACATGGCCAACCATGATTCGAGTCCCGGACCTGGTGGCTTGCTTTCTCACTTTTCTTCTCTCTGTGTGTCTGTCTCTCTGGTCAAATGAAAATGATTGAACGAATAAATAAAATTAAATAATTATTTCTAAAAAATAATAACTAATAGAATTAAATGAATAAATAATTCTTTTTTAAAAAATAAAATCAAATGAATAATACTTTTTAAAAGCAGGGAGCTGGCAGGTAGCGTGGTGGTTAAAAGTGCTGGACTCTCTCATGGCTGACCACAGTTCGGGTCCTGGACCTGGCAGCTTGCTTTCTCATTTTCTCTCCATGTCTAACTCTGGTCTAATTAAAAATAACAATAATGATAAATAAAGTAAAGGAAATCTTTTTTTTTTTTTAATAGGCTTTTGCTATAGGGCACACATGCTCACCAGAAATAGAGACAGAGAGATAGAAAGCAAGAAGTCTTCCCCCAGGGGGGATGGCCACAACAGAATCCCTTCTCCATTCTCTCGGGATCTTGGGCACGCACGCACACGCGCCTAGCGTGAGTTTAAGTCACCGGGTCTAGGACTCAGACTGCGGTCGACTACATGGGAGTCCAGCGACATAGCCATTACGCTAACTGCTGGTCCCAGTGAAATCTTTAAGGGGAGGGGGCAGCAGGTGGTGTACTGTTTAAGGTGCTGGACTCCCACTTGGTCGACTGAATTCAAATCCTGCACCTGGTAGCTTGAAACACACCACATCCATGTGTGTGTGCCCAAAATCCTGAGAAGAGAATGGAGGAGAGATTGCGGCATGGCCATCCCTCTCCGGGAATAATGTCTCACTTTTCCTCCGTATCTCTGGTGAGCACACTTGCCCTATAGCAGAAACTAAAATACATAATGAGAGCATGGTGTTCCATTCCCCACCCCAGATCATAAACTAACTGGGATCTCTCTGCCTTCCACATGGGTCTGGTCTGGGTGCAGAATTTATGAGGGAACTTCAAAATGCTAATGAAGAGTGGAAATAAGGGATCAATTTATCCTGGAGCCCAAAAATTTGAAATCCATGCAGAATTTTTCATAATACTATGAGTATTATAGTATGAGTATTTTTCATAGTTTCCATCAGTTTTTTCGAAGACACCACCTTCTCCCAGTGAAATGGGAAAATGGCTAATTTATTACCTCCATCGTCTGATCATTTGGCAAAATTGCCCTAACCTTACCCCAGGTATAAAAGTAAAAAATGGGGCCGGCAGGTGGGGCACTGGACTCCCACATGGCTGACCATGGTTCGAGTCCCAGGCCTGGCAGCTTGGTTTCTCTTTCTTTCTTTGGTCAAAATTTAAAAATAAATAAAATTAAATAAAATAAGTCTTTAAAAAAAAAAAAAAAGTAAAAAACAAACCCTCACATCTTGGTCTCAGGCAAGTACAGTTTAGTATTTAGGGGTCTTGGGCTCTGAGACTGACTGGCTCTCCCACTGACCATGGGTGTTTTAGGAAGGCTCTTCACCCCATGAGGACTCGGCTTTCATACAGTGGCATTCTAGACTCAGGTTCTTTGATATATTAATGAACCATGCGTGGGAGGCTCCATTTCTAGGAATGGTAAACTAGATGCTTCAGATCAATACTTGCAACTGGGAATTTGTTTTTAAGAATTAATTTTATTTGGGACTGGCGGGTGGCATGGTGGATAAGGGCGCTGGACTCCCACATGTCCGGTCGTAGTTCAAGTCCTGGACTTGGTGGTTTGCTTTTTCACTTTTCCCCCTCTCTCTTACTCTGTCCCTCTGGTCAAATCAAACTAACTAACTAACTAACTAAAGCTAAAATAAAATAATTATTTTATTATGTATCATTTTATTATTATTTTGTTTTAACTTACTTATTTTAATTTGACTAGAGAGGAACAGTGGGAAGGGAGAGAGAAAGAAAACCAACAGGTCCAAGACTCGAACTGTGGTTGAACCATGTGGAAGTCCAGCATCTTTATTTTTTAATATGGAATACTTCACGAATTTGCATGTGGTCCTCGCGCAGGGCCATGCTCATCTTCTCTGTATTGGTCCAGTTTTAGTACGTGTGCTGCTGAAGTGAGCACAGGAGTCCAGCATCTTAACCACTTTGCCATGCCAGTCACCCTGGATCTTTGTTTCTTTTTTTTTTTTTTTTTTAAGATTTATTTTATTTTGGGAACCAGCAGTTAGTGTAGTGGCTATGTTGCTGGACTCCCACGTAGTCGACCGCGGTTCGTGTCCCAGACTCGGTGGCTTAAAACTCACGCCCGGCGCGTGTGCGTGCGTGCCCAAGATCCCGAGAGGAGAACGGAGGAAAAGGGATTGCAGCATGGCCATCCCCCCTGGGGGGTGATTTCTCGCTTTCTGTCTCTCTTTCTCTGTCTCTGTCTGGCGAGCGCATGCGCCCTATAGCAAAAAAACTCTCAAAAAAAAAAAAAAGATTTATTTTATTTTATTTGTTATTGTTAATTATTTTTTAATTTAACCAGAGAGAGAAAGGGTGAGTGAGAAAGCAAGCCGCCAGGTCTGGGACTTGAACTGTGGTCCGCCATGTGGGAGTCCAGCACCTTAACCACTGAGCCATCTGCTGGCCCCCCAGATCTTAGTTTCTAATCCCATTCACCAATAAAAGGAACCAGAGCTCCTTGGGAAAATGGCGATTCTGGGACTGGGGCAGGAAATATACAAGATGAGTCAAGACCATCTGATAAGCAAGCCAGAAAGTAAGTACTCCAAACAATGAAAATGGGAACAAAAACAATGATGGGAGTGTGAAAAAAAGGGACAAAGGATCTGGGTCGCTTGGTAGCATGGTGGTTAAGGTGGTTGCATGCTGCATGACTGATAGCGTGGATTGAGCCCTGGACCCAGCAGCTTGAAAAACACATTGTGTGTGCATGCGTGTGTGTGCGTGCATGCGCGCCCATGTCCAGTATCCTGAGAGGTGAATGTAGGAGAAGGGACTGGGGAGTGGCCATTCCCCCTGGGGAGTGCTTTCTCTCTCTCTCTGTCTCTAGAAAGTGCAAGCGCCCTATGGCAAATTAAAAAAAAAAAAGTGGGGCTGGCAGGGGGCTTGGGGGTTGAGGCGCTGGATTCCCACATGGCTGACTGTGGGTCCAGTCCTGGACCTGCTTCTCACTTTCCCGCTCTCTCTCCTTCTGTGTGTGTGTGTGTCTCTCTCTGATCAAATTAAAATAATAATAATGGATAAAATTAAATATTTTTAAAAAGTGCTGGGACCAGCAGGTGGCATAATGGTTACATCCTGGATTCCCATGTAGCTACGACCACAGTTTGAGTCTTGGACCCAGTGGTGGTTAAGGTGCTGGATGGACACTCCCACATTGCTGACCACGGTTTGAGTCCTAGACCTGGTGGCTTGCTTTCTCATTTTCCATCTCTCTCTCTCTCGTACGCTCTCACTCAGTGTCTCTCTGATCAAATTGAGATAAATTAATGAATAAATAAAATAAAATGAATAATTCTTTAAAAATAAATAAATAATAAAAATA